CCCTGGCCCGCTGCCGGCAGCCGCTTCTCTCGCCACGACCCGCACGGACCAGGCCTCTCTTCACATACACACATACTGCGCTGACTCGTTTGCCCTCGGTACTTTACTATATTCGTTTTTGATAAGCGTCATTCTGGTGCTCTCTATTAGTAACACTTCTAGGGTACTGACGTACGCACGTACGGCTTTACCCTGGCGGTCCGCGCGGTCGGTGTGATGCACTGAGCGCCGTGAGCCTCTTAACGACGAAACGACCACCAGAAGCTTTCTGAGCGAACCAATCGGGCCAGGATCATCAGCATATCTCCCCTCCACAACATCGTGGGCGTTTGAACGGTATTTGAGGAGCACCGCCACTCTGAAGTTCGGCCGGGTGGTCTGCAGACCCCCCACCCCTCGGAGCAGCAGAGGCTCCGTGGCTTGTTGTGCGAGTATATGGGACAAAAGCGTCGAAAATGTCGCAAAAAAGCGTGTCTCGAGTTTGTGGCAGCCCCACAGCCGGCGCGCGCTGCCAGGAAGCACCGCTCGAGTGTCGGCCGCACTCCCTGGCACCCGGTGAGTGCGGCCGACCGACCAGACCGATTAGGCTCGACGCCGCGCTCGCTGTGGGGCTGCCACAAACTCGCCGCCGAGCGTGCCACCGACGGCGTCCTGGCGGAGGTGGTGGAGTGTGAGATCTGAGGCTGCGGAGGTGACGCCTGAGGTACCGGCCCGTGCACGGCAACTCAGCCGGCGACCGCCACGGGCTCAGACGAGACTTATCGACTCGTTCCGGCTCAGCTTCACCGTGGTCCTCGGGCGTCTGTCGACGTCAGGACCACCCATACAGCTCGCGGGTTTGAGGTCGCAAGAGCCAAGATGGTGGCGTTTGGACATCCCAACCATCACACAAGACAGCCTGTAGGTGATGGCGGGACGGCGCAGTGTTTGTGGCACTCGGCAGTAGGCACCCGCGGCACGGCCCCGCTGTCGGCTCTCGCGGGCTGCGGAACCGGCCCCAGAAGGGGACGATCCGGGCGAGTGTGGCAGCTCCTGCGCTAGTATGGGCAGTCTCTATCACAACACTACTGATCCTGGTCATTAGAGCTGCCAGGGGTAGCGTCAGGAGCCGGTAGGAGTCAAAACCCCTCATATTTGAGACATCGTGTCCCATATACTCGCACAACGAGCCCCGTGGGGTCGCAAAGTCGACGCTGAGAGTCGCACTCGTCAAACCATCGCAGCACCACGCGGTCCGCACGTACCGTCCACATCCCCCCCGCCGCTGAGAAGGCGCAGATCGACCGCCGGGCCTCGTAGTCGTCGTTAAGGAGGCGAGCGGTTTTTCGGAGCCGTTGGTACGAAGGGGTCCAAAACGGGCGAACAGGCGGTTTTTCGACGACCACACGCGATGAAGTATCTGCCTTTCGCTAAAATCGGGCCGCCGAGTGCAGAATTACTAGTACAACACGCAACCACACTAAGAGCTCCACACTAGCCGGTAGACTTTTCTTGTAAGCATCGTTCTAAGCGATGCGCAAGTCTAGTCCTCCTGCCTTCGGGCCGTCGCCTTCGGGCACCACGCACTCTCACACGCCAATACACGCGCGGCCGGCGCCCCTCATGCCCTTCCCCACGCACACCCCGTGAAAACTGCGCGTACGTCCCCGCGCGCACGCAAACACACGCAGCGCCAATTCTGAGCTGTGTCATGTGCGTCCCCTGTGCTGGCGCCCCATGGCCGTCCCGCGCCGCCCGCACCAGCCACGCGCCCCTCGCACCACCAGAGCCAGCCGCATATCCACTCAGTTAGTTAGTTAATTAGGGTCGGGTCCCGTCGGGCTCACGCGCCATGTGGCCGTATACCGCCACGAGAGTGCGCGCTACCTTCCTCGGGTTGAAGTTGGCGCACGTGCGCAGGCACGTTGCCATGGCACAGCTGAGCATGCCCCCGAGGCAGCCGCCCTGCACCGCACGGGCAAGCGGGCAGGTGAAAAGGAGGGGGGGGTGAAAGGAGGGTGGAGGGCCGATTTGCCGCCCACCCTCGCCCGTGCTCATGGAGATGTGATCTCCGTGATCACCACCACTCGGGCCCCTCGGAGCGGTTTGAGCTTGTTGTGCTTTGTTGGAGTTGTTGTGCTTGTGTGCAACACAAGTGTTCCAGCATGTTGGGTTCCAGCGCGCTGGTCGCTCTGTGGCGCATGTTGGGTCGAATCTCTCCTACTCCCTCGCCTACTCTCCTGCTCCCTCGCCTACTCTCCTACTCTCGTGCTCTCCTGCTCCCTCGCCTACTCTCCTACTCTCCTGCTCTCCTACTCTCCTACTCTCCTACTCTCCTGCTCCCTCGCCTACTCTCGTGCCCCCATGCTCGCGCCTGCCGGACGCACGTGATGAGCTCGTCCAACGTCATGCCCAGCATCCCGGCCTGCTTGCTCGCGAGGCTCCGCAGCCCCTTAAACATCAGGAGGCAGGTGCGTAGGGCCAGGGGCGCAGGTGCGTAGGGCCAGGGAGGCAGGTGCGTAGGGGTCAGGGGGGCAGGTGCGTAGGGGTCAGGGGGGCAGGTGCGTAGGGGTCAGGGGCGCAGGTGCGTAGGGGTCAGGGGGGCAGGTGCGTAGGGCCAGGGGCGCAGGTGCGTAGGGGTCAGGGGGGCAGGTGCGTAGGGGTCAGGGGCGCAGGTGCGTAGGGGTCAGGGGGGCAGGTGCGTAGGGCCAGGGGCGCAGGTGCGTAGGGCCAGGGGCGCAGGTGCGTAGGGGCCAGAGGCGCAGGTGCGTAGGGGTCAGGGGGGCAGGTGCGTAGGGGTCAGGGAGGCAGGTGCGTAGGGGTCAGGGAGGCAGGTGCGTAGGGCCAAGGGGCGCAGGTGCGTAGGGGCCAGGGGGGCAGGTGCGTAGGGGTCAGGGGCGCAGGTGCGTAGGGGTGAGGGGGGCAGGTGCGTAGGGGTCAGGCCCCTTCCACACCTTGAACATCGTGGTGCACTGGACGCGCGTCATCACGAGCACCTGAACCAACCGCCACGCAGGCAATCAGCCTGGCTGCGGAGTGGCCAACTTGCCCTCGTGCCATCTTCAGATGTGCTCATCAGATGGCAACGACGCGTCATCCCATATGTGGCGACGAGGGCTACAGATGGCCACTGGTCGGCAGCCACGCTTGATTGCTACTTGATCGCTACTTGATCGCTACTTGATCGCTACTTGATCGCTACTTGATCGCTACTTGATTGCTACGGATGGCCACTGGTCGGCAGCCACGCTTGATTGCTACTTGATTGCTACTTGATTGCTACTTGATTGCTACAGATGGCCACTGGTCGGTAGCCACGCGACTTGAGGTCAGCCTGCGCACCCTGTCGGTCACCATCCCCGCCACAGGCTGAGGCACCATCACGTCCGGGAATGGCTCCCGCAGCGCGTCGGCGAAGATTTGCATCACTCGTGCCTGAGCAGTCGGGTGCACGAGAGCGGTCGGCGGCCGGTGCGCATGCATGGGGTAGGCCGTGGAAAATCCCGGGCCAGGAAAGTTGGTGTTTATGGCGCGAGTGCTCAACGCCTGCGGCCTCCGGGACAAGCCTCGTGCGGCGGCCGGCCGGCGCGCGGCGGGGCGCCATTGCCATCTGCATGGGAGCATTGCAAAGAGGCACGTTCTTTCGGAAAAGATCCGCTCGAGCAGCCGCAGCGTCGTGATGGCTGGCACCTTCGCCACGGCGGTGGGGGCGCCGGTGTCCTACGCGTGGGCGAGCGAGGCGCAGGACGTGGCGTGGCTGGCCCGCGAACAAGTAGCGGCTCTCAGGGCGGAGGCAGCCGCAGCCGAGGCCGAGGCCCGGGCGGAGGAGGCACGCTATGCCTTGGCAGTCACCACTGCCCGAGCGGCCTCGGCGGCGGCAGAGGCGGTGCGGCTGGGGGTGTGGCGGCAGGCCGTGCCGGCATATTTCAACCAGGTGGCGATGTACCGTAGCGCGGGAGCAGGTTTGGCGTGAGGGAAGAGATACCCCTCGCAGCGGCTCAGGTGCTCGGCCTCGCGCCCTCGGTGGCGGCTGCGGATGCCGCAGGTTGCCAACCGGGGCTTCGTAATGACGGCCTAACTCTCACAGCAGAGAGACTGCAGACTCGTCAATTCTCGTCTAAAACGTATGTGTAGTATGACTGTGCACAAAGAACACGCAACACACTGCAGTCTGCACGGTCTGAAAACGCGAGATGACACTGTTGACAGCCAATGGGAAAGAGAATGGGAAGAGAACACCTATCGGGTTTAGCCTCGTATTGGTTTAGTCGGCCTCCGAGGCGGCGCATCTGGCTCAACCACGCGGTGACGCATGTCGACGAAGTGAAACGGAGGATCGTCGGCCTCCTCCGCATCCGAAAAGAAGGCGAGCCATCGCACGCCGCGCACAGCCGCAGGCGTGTCATGGCTAGCTGCTGAGGTGAGGTCCTCAGTACGCAGCGGTGCGCACGAGAATGCCCACGATTGGCGGCAGGCGTCGGTGCGCAGCAGCCACTGGCCCGGCTGGAGCACGTGCCTCACCTGGCCCGGGAACGCGGGCGGGGTCGCGTGCTTGAGCAGCATTACGCTCGGCTTTGGTCAGCGTGGGCATTGCAAGATAACTGTACCATCGTCAGAGGGCGCTAATACCTCTGCACACATCTCGGGACGTGTGCCGCGCCTGCGTCTTGCCGGCCAGCCTGCGGTGTGCGAAGCTGGCCGGCGAGCTCGAGGGCAGCAGAAAGATGGCAGAGAGGCCAGGGCGACGTGCCTGTGGTAGAAACTCGGCCGGCCACGCGCCGTGGATGCCACAGAGCCGAAGCTGGCCCGCTGGGCGACGTCGGGTGAGCTGAACGAGGGCGTCCGCCATTCCGCGAGGCCCCCCCCGGGGCAGCGATGACTATATTTCTTTTTTTGAGTTGCCATTATTTCTTTTAGTTTTAGTCCAACGGTTTTCTTCTCGGCGCTTTTCTGGAGCCCGACTCTGGTGCTGCTGCCCCGGCGTCCCTCGTCGACCAACCTCGCGGCAAAACTGCTCGGCGATGTCCTCCATCGGAACGGGCTATGATCAGTCGACCACCACATTCTCGCCTGACGGCCGCGTGTTCCAGATTGAGTACGCCGCCAAGGCGGTCGAGAACTCGGGCACCGCGATTGGCATCCGCTGCAAGGACGGCGTCGTGCTGGGCGTCGAGAAGCAAAAGCTGTCCAAGATGATGCTGCCTGGTTCGAACCGGCGCATCTACACGGTGGACAAGTGCACGGGCATCGCGGTCTCAGGGATGATGGCCGACGCGAGGCAGGCGCGCTGGCCGCGCGCCACCGCCGCCGCCCTGTTCCGCCACCTCCTCGCCGCCGTTGCCGTCGCCGCCGCTCGCTCGCTCGCGCATCTGCGCCGCCGCTCGCATCTCGCTGGCCGCCCTCGCGCCTCGAGCCGCGCACCCCCCTTGCGCTCACCCCGCCGCACCGCCACCGCTCGCCCCGCCGCACCGCCACCGCTCCTCCACGGCGCACCGCCCGCAGATTGTGAATGCGGCGCGAGCGGAGTCGGCGAACCACACGGCCGTGTACGGCGGGCAGATTCCGGGCGCGTGTGCCCCATCTGCCACTTTCTCTCCCCCCTCCCCCCTCCCCCCCCCCTCTCCCGTTCTCCCGCCTCCCCCCTCTCTCCCCTGTCTCTCCGCTCTTACCCCTCTCCCCTCCCCCTCCCCCCCCACACACAATCCCTCCTCCCCCCGGGCCGCCGCAGGGAATATGCTCAGCGACAAGATCGCCGCCCTGCTGCACATGTACACGCTGTACTGGTATGTGCGCCCCTTCGGATCGTCGGTACGTCACACCCATACTCCGCACATGCACATGCACACGCACATGCACAAGCACATGCACATGCACATGCACATGCACATGCACATGCACACGCACACGCACATGCACATGCACATGCACATGCACACGCACATGCACATGCACATGCACACGCACACGCACACGCATAAGGCCAACTGTGTGCATGCGAATACACCCGTGCTCGACGCCAGCAGCTGCCCCCGCCGTCGCCTCTGCCTCCTCCGCCTCCACCTCCTCCTCCACCTACCACCTCATCCGCCTCCGCCTCCGCCGCCGCCGCCGCCGCCGCCGCCGCCGCCGCCTCCTCCGCCTCCCCTCTGCTAGCTCTCCACGAACCGTGCCCCCCCCACTCTCTTGCTCTCCTCACCACATCTCGCCCCGACTCTTCTTCTTCTTCCCCCCCCACCACG